TGCAGTCAGACTTGCAGCAGTGATTCAGAGTGAGGGATGTGATATGAAGAACATCTGTGGTGACACAAGGAAACTTCCAGTTGTCTTTAGGGACAGTGCACTTAATGAGGAGTAACTCACGGGAGGCATCCCCCCATCTGATATGCCACAGGTAATGTCTCTTGGGGCAGTAAAAAGAATGAGGTTTGTCTGATGTGGAGAAAAATAACCTCCCTGGAGTTTTAACTAGAGAGAAATAAGTCTTGTAGATTAACAGCTTTTATGAGAGCCTGTCATTGCCCTGTTACCTATCCTGTGATTTCATGCATTTTCAGCTCAGGTGCACATAAGACTGGAAGGGGAACTCTTGCCATTGCATGTTATCTTCTGGGTTGTAAAAATACCATGGATTCCTGGTATTTACAGAAATTTTTCATTACAGAGGAAACTGGAAACAGTTTCCATGCAGGGAGAACCATGCAGAGCTGGCTGAGGAACATCCACATCACACTCATGCAGACAAGGACAGTGCTTGAGCATGATTTCTGTTCTCTGCAAAGCACAGGAGTGAAGCTTTGAAACTGGGACCTCAGGGATGCCACCATGCCCTCCTGCTCCAGGCACCACCAGGAGCTCTGCTATATGACCACACTGCAAAGTAGGTTGATCTTGGTTAAATGGGTCCAGAAAAAATCTTCCTCTTTTTTCTAGGATGGCTGTCTTTCACATGTCCTCTAGCTGCAGCCTGCAATTTCCTGAGTCACTCCTTGGTTCTTTGTTACATTAAATAATTGCCTTATGTTGGCTACTTTCCAGCATTTAAGGACTCACTGCTGGACTCCATGAATGTATAACATTGCCTATCTGCCCATGTTTCTTTTGAATTGCTGGAGGAAAAGTAGTCAATCCTTTCTCATTACTAAAACAAACAAGACCTCACTGTGGTTTGATGCAAGTGCTTGTCCTCTGCCCCTTCTGACTGCTGGGTGGGGAAGCTGTTAACCCTGTCCTCACTGGGACAAGGAATTTGATCAGCCTGAGCTGGCTAAGCAATGTCTCGTTTATTCCTAAAGGATGCCAGAAAGTGTTGGAAAATAGAACTAGGGTTTGCCCTTGAGGCCTTGAGTGTGAGCTGCTTGTTCAAATCTTCACTCTGATGATCTTAAGCTCACACAGAATCTAGGTGAGCAGGTACCTCCTTCCTGGTCCAGCTTCCTGCTCAAATTAAGGCTAATGTGAAGCTACATTGGGTGCTCAGGGCTGTGTCCAGATGAAGTTCGAGTACCTCTTGCACTGGAGGCCTTGCAGCCTCTCTGGTCCTCTAGTAGTACCCTAGGGAAGAATTTTTTTCCTTATGCCCAACTGGGACTTTTCCATTTTCTGCAGCTCATGTCACTTGTCTTATGTCCTTTCACTGTTCACATCTGGGAAGAGTCTGGACTTCAGCTCTGTTATAATCCCCTTAAGGCAGCTAAAAGCAACAAGAGGATCCCCTTCCTTCACCTTCTTTCCTCAATACCAAGCAAGCCCCACTCCTTTATTCCTTTCCCATGTGCACATATATAAATGCATGTGCACATTAGCAGTGAGCACATCCTCCGTGGGGCTATTTTGTAAACCACTGTCAGACCTTTACCTACAGCAAATCCATGGTCTGCCTGGCATGCCAGCCCACCACAGAGCACTTTCCTCATCAATAAGTAGGTAGGAGATGTTAGTGTTCCTTTGGATAGGCTTAAGAAGCAATCATACAAAGCTGCTAGCAGTCTGCCTGCAACGTAAGCCCACGTCTCCCCGCTTTAGGCATAAGAAAATATAAGGATGCTTGTTTCTTCAGAGCTGAGCATTAAAACTCATTTTTCCTGCTGCTCATCAAGACCAGAGAATAGAATCATTATGATTGGCAAGGACTTCTAAAATCATCATATCCAACCATCCACCTACCACCAATGTTGCCCACTAAACGATGTCCCTCAGTGCCACATCTCCACATTTCTCAAACACTGCCAGATGACTCCACCACCTCCCAGGGCAGCCTGCCCAACCACTCTTTCAGAGAAGAATTTTTTCCCAGTATCCAGCCTGAACCTCCCCTGAATAGCTGCAGAGTGTTAAATCCACCAGATTGCTCTACTGTAGCAGAAGGAAGTATTTTCCCCTATAATCCTATCTTTCACCAGCACCAAAATCTGCTAAGCCCAAGAACCAAAGCTGAATGCCACTTCTCCATCAGTGACCAGCATGGCAATGTCCACCACTGTCCAGCAAAGAATGATGCCCTGGAATCTTTCAGGAGCAGAAGAGCAGGCAACCATGAAAGTTAACAGAGCCTTGAGTGAGAACCTGCTTCCCATGAGATCCCCCAAGGGAGAAGGAGGACCAGGAGGACCCATTAATCACCTTGTGTAGTTATGCCTAGGCACAGGGTCAAAGACAGGAGGGAGCTGTCACTAAGACAAAGCAAGGATGAGAGCCCTCCCTGTGTGCATGGGCAATGGAGAGGAAGCAGGTCCATCAGCCTGTGCAGGCTGTGTGTGCCTGTGTTCCCCCTTCACTTGCTTCCCCCATTGTGGAATGACACACCTTGGAGAAATGATCAACTGTGCATAGGATCACTTGTTAAACAGACCAAATGCCCCAAGCATCAGCATGAGAATAGTCAGGTAAATTAACAGCTTTGCCCTGATGGACATCAGTTAGTTATTTGACTTTCTCTCCCACCTTGTCATGGGATCATGAATTGAGGAACAATGCAGGGGAGTCCATGCACACTTTTTCTGTGTCTGTAGATGTTGCTAAACACATGCAATTCTCCAAATAAAAAAAAAAAAAAGCTTGGGATCTTCCTGGGGTCTGTCTCTATCACAATCCTGCCAGCGGAGATTGCTGTCTGTTTTAAATATCCCACTTTGAGAACAACCCCAGTCCTCCTTAGAGGAGCAAAAAATCATTAATCTACTTTTATCAGTATCATGCTTTATTTCCAGCTAATTCTAACACCGCTGTCATTCAAATACTTCAAGCTAGCAAGAGACCCCAATTTAGCTCTTAAACAGTAAAAGCAAAGAAGGTCTTCTTAACCTCTCTTTCTGTAGCCCTTAATATAAATGCAGCCTCACAAAATTCTCCAGCATGCTAAAGCTGGATCTCCATTCACAGTCCTAGAAGAAATCAGCTGGAAATAACTGGGCATTGAAGATAGAAAATATTTTCTATACCACTTTACATGCATTTGAAATACCTACAGCTCATTTTTATCCAGCAATGTGAAAAATGGCATTACTAATCCCACACTTCATCCCATGCCATATACATTTTAAGCTTACCTCAGGCAAGTTGAAGAGCCGTCAGCACTGGTGGCTACCAGAGTTGGGAATTACGCTGTGCAAGAAAGGAGAGCAGTGGTGGCTTGATGTTTCCCAGGATGGGACTGTCACATGCTAATCACTGATTTGAAATGCAGGCATAACAAATGCTTTCTAATTATATAATCTTCGGGTCACATCCTTGCATCCCCATGCAAAAATCAGGACTGTGCGCTTGGAAGGAGAAAATACTGACTTTTTTCTTTCTTAATTAGAACTGCTGCAAAGGGAGTGTGAGAAGCCTTGTGAAGTGACTGGCAGAGAGGGCTGTGTGCTATGAGCTGGGTACTGCTGTGGTCTGTGCTACCCAGACGAGCTCAGGGACTGCTAAGTACCTCCCATGGCACCCGAGGAAGGCAGCCAACACAGAACACCAGCTCCTCCCTGCTCCCCCTGACACCCTTACCCCCCTACCCTCCCCTGCATGGCCTCATTAGGGATGCTAGGGCCAAAACAGCGTCCTGCTTGGGCATTTTCTCATTCTGGGCTGAGAGCAAAGTAGCCAGGGCAGCGGAGCAGGAACCACCAGTGTTTGTGAACCTTCTGCTTCTTGTTAGATTGTGACAAGTTTTCTTTGAGTTGAAAAGAAAAGAAAAGAAAAGAAAAGAAAAGAAAAGAAAAGAAAAGA